TCATCATGACCCATAATGGAATAAACCAGCTCCCTCTGTTACCACCTCCTGCTGTGAATCTAATTGGTCCTCAGTCGCTCAGTGATGTCACATGACAAACAGCTAATAAGTGCTGTCGATTTATTTAAAGGTCCCATATTATGTTTTTTCTGGTTTTATATGCTCTTTAGTGTGTTTTCCAAGTGTCCTGTGCATGTTTAGGCACATCTATGTGCAAAAATTCATAGTCTGCATAAACACGGCTTCTCCTACGTCCTCCTGTTAGCTGTAGCATTAGCTGCATGTAACGCTCGGTTCTAGCCCCCCTCGGAAAAAAATTGTCAGTGTGACGTCTTGTCAGTGTGAGATCACTGATCTAAGTCCGGTTGACTGAACGCTGGCGCGTTTAGCTGCCGCTGCTCTCCGGTTCCTCTGACTGTTTTTGCTGATCGACGGACTTTTTGCATTTGTTGTATTCTTCCCTGGACATACTTCCAAAAGATCAGATTACCCGGTGAGTTAATTTGGACAGGTAGCCTATTAGCTTACCTGTTGCGTGTAGGGCTCCCACTCCTCACCTGGGCTGCTTCTGCTGCCGGAGCCCTTATCTAGTCCATCATCGGCAACAATGTGGATTAATAAAATGTTTGTATGGTCTGTCAAACACGACCACAACAATGTCAACTTCGGATTATTCAACACCCCCTCTCTTACCAGCAAAGGTCCTCTCCTCCAGGAGCTCCTGGTTGACCGTAAGATTGATTTTTTTGTGTTTAACCGAAACATGGCAACAACCTAATGACTTTTCACAGCTGAATGAATGTACCCCTCCAGGGTTTGTTTACATCTGTCAACCCCGTGCCTCTGGCAGAGGTGGAGGTCTCGCGATAGTTTACCGCGAGAATTGGAAAGTGTCGCCTGTTTCTGTCCCTGTTCAGTTGTCTTTTGAATCTATTGCCTTACAACTGAATGGGCCTACACCTACCATAGCGGCCTCTGTCTATCATCCACCAAAGCCCAATACTGATTTCTTGAATGAATTTGCTTCATTTTTAACTCGTCTATGCTCACTCTCCCCTAACATAATATTGCTGGGAGATTTTAATGTACATAGGGATAAAACTAACAATGCCTTGACGAAGGACTTTACATCCTGCCTTGACAGCTTTGAATTGCAGCAACATATTGATTTTCCTACACACTCCAAATAACATATCTTGGACTTAATTTGCTGCTCTGGTGTCACTCCTCTTGACTGCGCTGCAGATGTCCTTCCCATTTCTGATCACATGTTAATATCTTTCAATGTCAAACTTACACTATCCAAAAAATATCTGCCACGTGTCATTTCATATCGCAACATCAAGGACATTAACTTAACTGCTCTCTCCAGTGGCATTGACAGCCTCCCCAGCATAAACTGTTTATCCACCCCCGATGAACTGGTTTCTCATTACAATGATGGTCTTCATAGCCTCTTAAATACCCTGGCTCCTTTAAAAACCCGGACTGTTTCATTCACCCACTCTGCTCCATGGTTTACACCTGAACTTCGCCTACTCAAAACAAAAGGCCGTCGCCTGGAACGTCTCTACAAGAAAACTGGACTTCTTATTCACAGAGAAATGTACAATAACCACATTCTCCACTACAAGGACAGTCTCTCTACAGCTAAATCAACTCACTACGCAGGTATCATCAGCTCAGGTGAAGGGAATACAAGGACACTATTCTCCATCGTCAACAACATATTACGACCACCGGACTCTCTTGCTTCTCATCTGTTTTCCACCGCCTATTTCAACTCTTTAATGTCATTTTTCACTGCCAAAGTAAACAAGATTCACCAGCAACTGACTCCTAACATCTCATCTCTCCCAGTCTTCTTACCTCCTCTCTCTCACTAACTTTCAAGTTTCAAACTTCCTTCTGTTGCTGAAATATCTGACCTCATTCAGAAATCAAAACCATCTACCTGTCCATTAGACCCTCTCCCTACTGTCCTAGTAAAAGCTTGCCTACCCCCTCTGTCTTCCCTAATAATGGTCATCATACATTCCTCCCTCACCTCTGGTCTTGTTCCCATTTCTTTCAAGTCAGCTTCAATAACCCCTATACTTAAGAAACCTGCTGCAGACCCAAATGACTTCAATAACTTCCGTCCTATCTCTAATCTACCCTTCCTATCCAAAATTCTTGAAAAAACAGTTGCATCTCAGGTTCACACTTATTTGTCTGACAATAACCTCTATGAACAGTTCCAGTCTGGTTTCCGCCCCCTCCATAGCACAGAGACAGCACTGGTAAAAATCACCAATGACCTCCTCATGCCAGCTGACTCTGGACTTCTAACCATCCTTATCCTCCTTGATCTAAGTGCAGCCTTCGACACCATCTCCCATCACACACTCCTTGACAGACTTGCCTCCATCGGAATCACTGACACACCCTTGCACTGGTTTTCATCCTATCTCTCTGGTCGCACTCAGTTCACTCAACTCGGAACCTTCAAATCCCAACCATTTCCAGTCACTACCAGTGTTCCTCAGGGTTCTGTCCTCGGCCCCCTTCTGTTCATCATCTATCTCCTTCCTTTTGGCCATATCTTCCGTAAGTATAACATCCAGTTCCATTGCTATGCGGATGACACCCAGCTCTACCATCCATCAAACCCACCTCCTCCCTCCCGCCCACTTCCCTGACTGATTGCCTGCAAGAATTCAAATCCTGGTTGACCTTTCCTCAAATTAAACAGTGACAAAACCGAGCTTCTCCTCATCGGCACCAAATCAACAATCTCTAAACTCAACAGTTTTTCTCTGGCTATTGACCACTCCTCAGTTTCTCCCTCCCCTCAGGTTAAGAGTCTGGGTGTCATCCTAGACAGCACACTATCATTCCAAGCTCACATCAATAATGTCACCCGGTCTGCTTATTTCCATCTACGTAACATTAAACGCCTCCGCCCATCCCTCACTCTCAGCAGTACTGCCATCCTCGTCAACACCCTGGTTACATCCCGCATTGACTACTGCAACTCCCTTCTCTTTGGTCTCCCTCTCAAGTCCATCCACAAACTTCAACTGGTCCAGAATTCTGCCGCTCGCATCATCACCAGAACGCCCTCTGTTAATCACATCACCCTGTCCTACAGCAGCTTCATTGGCTCCCGGTTAAACATCGCATCACCTTCAAAATTCTGCTCCTCACCTTCAAGGCCATCCACAACCTCGCTCCACTTTACATCTCTGAACTCCTGCACATTAACACACCTACGTGCACTCTCAGGTCTTCTTCTTCCATTCAACTCACTGCACCACCCGCCCGTCTGTCCACCATGGGGTCTAGGGCCTTCAGCCGCTCTGCCCCCCACCTCTGGAACTCCCTCCCACCACAAATCCGTAATATCGACTCTCTCTCCATTTTCAAATCTCATCTCAAAACACATCTTTTTAAACTGGCATATTCAGTCTGATCATTTTCCACCCGTTTTCATAACTCCTTTACATCCTGTACATTTGTGTTTTTTAATGTTAATTTTATCATTGTGTTGTTACTTTGTTGTTTATATCTCTGCTCTGTAAGATGACCTTGAGAGTTTTGAAAGGCGCCTTTAAATAAAATGTATTATTATTATTATTATTATTATTATTAAGTCCATTGGCTCGTTGTGGCAAGCCCAGCAGCTCATGTTGCACGCCCGTTAACTTCTGTAGCACGCCCCGATATGCCGTAGCCTGCGGTAGCACAGTAGTGCTAAGGTGCTAATGTTTTTGCTCCCCTCGGACGGAGCCAGTGGCTGCATTCCATATATGGTAAAAGGGGCGGGACATTTCCGAGAACCATGCTGAGTAACTGACCAATTACGGCAGAGCCGACAGGCAGACCAATCAGATCAGACTTGGCACACGTGGGGACTCTGAACGTGGGCACTTCAGAACCTTAGAGAGAGTCAGAAGCGAACAGGTGCATGGAGCTACAGTGCATGAAAACAGACACTTTTTTTTATAACTTTAGCTATTGTGAACATACTTTAGTAGGTACATAGATTAAATATATGAACCCCATAATATGGGCTCTTTAAGCTGACATTGCATTATAAATCAGACCTTCATGTTTGTAACAAGAACAAGTCCTGATGACAATGATGTGTCGCATCATTTCTAACGTAGGGTTAAAGTTACTGATATCATTTACACTGTAAAGAAGTTTCATTCATTCTGTCGATCTCTTACTCTGTCTCCGCTTCATTCAGTGTGTGTTCTTCCTCTGGCTCCGCTGCGTCTCAGCTCCGTCAGTCTGGAGTCCTCTGCGGCAGATACACCAGATCGAGCAGGACAGGAAGTCAGACACTCAAACAACATGAAAACATCCTGTTTATTTTCAGAATAAAACACGCTAGATTACATTCTCATCAACATGGCATCCTGATACTTACTGAGCCGGCAGAAACACGACCATCTATAAAAAAAAGAAAAAATCCAAGCGAGTTCAACTTCTTGAACTCCTTCAGTTGGGAACAAGGACCTTGTGTGTGTTGTTGTGTTTATGAGGCTTTTTATACCACATACCTCATTTTATCTCGCACCATTTTGTATTGGTCTCGCGACTCCAGGTGCTTCCTGTGCGGCGCTCTGAGAACGCAGTCTGTGGGCATTGACCATCGAGAGAGCACAGAGCAGTACCTGACAATGCTGTCATACAACGCACACCTAACTGGGTACCTCCGTGGTGGTGCTAGTATTATCTGTTAGTATTTCTGATGAATGAATGTGTAACAGAAAGAAATCCAGTGTTTCACAAGCACATACTCGCTTTGATGGTTGTTGTTCAGTTTCCACTTGATTTCTCATTTGATGTTGATATTGACCCCCCCCCCCATCTCTGCTGTCATCTTCAGGTCATGGAGAGCTTCTGCCCGTGTTAGACGCACTATCTCGCACACAGCCAGCACGCAGGGTACGGTTGGACGGTGTGTGTATCCTTAGTCAACTGGTGGTCATGTGTGAAGCTGTGGTCTGATGCCCACCCTCCCCTCAGCGCTGGCCATGGACGGGGAGAACTACCTGCATCCAGAAGGCCCTCAGCTCGACAGCAGCTTGTTCTCGGTGGCTCCCTCTAACACAGAGGTATGACTATGTTCTGTTGTGTTTCTATCTGCAGGTTTATGTTTAGTGTTCTCTGAGGTATAACAGCTCTCATGTAAGGTTTTGCTTCAGTGTACTGAAACATAAAACGAGCCTTATCCTTAAGACTGGATAGCTCACATATTTACAGGTTGAGATCAGAGCGCTGGTGTTTTTACCTTCTGGTTTGCACAACAGTTATTTAGAATATGCAAACAGGAAGTGATACTACTTGTGGTTTCAATTTCCAAGCTGATCTTCTTTGGAAATCTGAAATTCTCATGTAGATGAGAGCCAATATGTAAGGTTTCAAGGTACCAATGTTGACTCTCTGGTTACGAGACGAGAGGCAGGTTTTTAATATTTGAACCACAATAACCATCGGGTTTCTTCAACTTTCACTCAGGAGCCAAAATCTGCTTTTAGATCTGAATATCATGATAAATATCGACTGATTGGAACATTTTATATGGTGGTAACATTTGACTCCGTCCCGTATGAATCGATTCTCATGACATCTATCAAGCCAAGAAATGTTTATAGTATATGTTTTATGTCCTTGTTTTGGGTAGAACATAAAAAGAAAGACAGGGCAGACCGGTCACTCACACCACAAGCATGCAGTCTGTAGGCTGACGAGCATGCGGGAGCTTCAGTGTCAATACCATGATGAGCGTGTAGGAGCCGGCACGCAGCCGGCACGCAGCCACCTTTATAAAACAGCCCTATGAGACGACTGTACCACTGATGAAGGCGCTGTAATGCAAAAGTTGAACCCCAGAAAAAAATATGTTACTTAATTCTCCACAACTTCGTGGCGACCCCCTCGGGGCTCAGGACCTCGAGGTAGAGAATCCCTGCTCTAAACAACGGCCTAAAAAGCTTTAAAGGGTAGCTCGGAATATTCCTGACACCTTCTCAGAGTCTCCTCCCACTAAAGCCAGACTGTCTGTGTATCTGGTTTCCACAGGGAATAAGACATGCACATATTTCTCCAGAATTGAAGAGCTTACAGAATTACAGTCTGTACACTAATGAAGTGAAAGTACTGTCAGTCAGACCAGCTGGAGGTGAAAGATGTGGTCTGATGTGAATCTCCACTACAAAGAGTGTCACTATGGCACAGTCCTGTAATAATGCTGCTTCTCTTCAGCTCTTGAAGTAACTTTTAATAAATGTAATCTTTGTGTTTTCTTTTAGAGTTCGATCTACACCTCGTCTGATTCCTGGGGATCCTACTCTCAGCAGGCTGGATACAGCATCCACTGCCCTATGCAATCTGGAAACCAGTAAGTTCATTCAACATCACAAACAGCTTCAGCGATGCTCAGTAAGAGCGCTGAAACTCAGAGCAGACGATGACCTTTAGAACGAGGACTTTAAGAGCTATAGGGGTATAAGTGACCCACACCCAGGTTTATTCTGTCAGACTTCATGATGGTGTTATGAGTGTGTTTTTGTCAAAGGTGTCTTTAGTTACTTTGACTGATGAGTTATTATTACTGCACACGCACAGTATACATACTGTACATCTTAAATAGAATACACAGTCCTCCTCCTGTTTTCTCTGTTGGAGCCTCCAGTGGACACTCGAGGAGCTGCAGATTTGCACTTCCTCGTTGACTTAATGAACATTAAAGAGTTGCTGCTTAGCATCACCCTGCTCAAGTTAACTTGTGTCCTGTGATTAATGCGGCTGCTCTGTAAGATGTACAGATGGGACCGGGTGAGACAGAAGCCCTGTTCACAGTGCCATCATATTTTACACCCTGTAACTTTTGCCTTACAGAGGCGTTACAGAGGAGAGACGGGATCAGCTGATCCAGCGAGGCAGAACGGCGCTGTGTGTGCATGTTTGACTGTGTGTGTATGTGGAGCTCCTGCACGCACGCACACACAGTCAGACATGCACACACACACACACAGTCAGACATGCACACACACACACACAGTCAGACATGCACACACGCACACACACACACACACACACACACACAGTGTCAGACATGCACACACACACACACACACGCACACACACACAGTCAGACATGCACACACACACACACACTGGGACAGCAACATTGCACAGTTGTAGAAGCAGTGTTTGAATACAAAGGTGTAGGTCGTGGAGCTTTTTGTCGAGTTCAAGAGTAAAAAAGGGCTTTACCTCCAGTGTCATAAACAAAGCAGAATCATCCTAGCTCCTTTGTCAACTTCCCTATGAGGCGTGTGTGTAGTGGGGTTTGGATGATCGCTGCGCAGCGTCTTTGAGCGGGTGAGAATGGAATTAAACGGTTTGGGCACTTAAACAGCATGTCACCAACTGTTAGACTAATGAAGCCAAAAGAGACACAGCACCAGTGTGTTAAACACTGAAACTATGGTCATATTTCTGTGTCGCTGTGTCTGTAAACTTGCCACATATGAGCAGGCCATATGTAGGTTTTCTATAAATACATAAAATCACCGTTTATCGGTGCCTGTGGGTACCCTGTGAACCTTTATCCATTTGAGTAGGAGACACGTTTAAAACGATGTTTGCAGACAGTCATTTTTTTGTTTATTCTTTTCTCTCCCTTGTCTTGATACTCAAAGCCGAAACAGAAACGTCCCCACACCACTGATTTGAAAGACGCCGGCGTTTCCTCATACCCCATGCCATGTTAAAGCAATATGTGAAATCTAACACCAACGTTGTCCGATACTAGCAGCTTTAGCGCACAGTGACTGTATATTTACTCCAGCCAACTCAGAGAGAAATACAATGCATGGAAGAGAATTTGTTTGCTTCCCCGTCGGTCGTTTTAAACCGTGGTTGCCGTTTGATATTATATTGTTGCATCAATGGTCCACATGCAGGATCAGATGTGTGCTGAAATCCATATTTACTTTTTGTTTTAAAAATATAATTTCATGCTTTAGAAGAAACATTTATATGTTTTTTTAAGTCAGTAAAAACATCTTTCATTCCAAACACAAATCAGGAAGTGTAGTGTTGGTATTACAGCCAGTTTCTTTGTAACTTAAGGCAGCAGATGACGTAAGAGCTCAGTGTGTGGTTTTCATGTTCACTCCAAGCTGGTTTTACAAGACCCTTATCTCACTCTCGGTCTGACTAGAGACACATGTCTTTATCTGGATCATGATGTGTCTGTGGTTCAGAAGAAGAGAACTGATTGAATATCATCCAAGAGCGTCATGATTATGTTGAACAGCCCTCGTCCACCACAACCAGCCTGCCGTGTTTTTTAAAGCTAGTGAGTTCAGCATCAACCAGGACCCTAAACATGTGGTTGGAACACCTCACAGGACAAACAAGGCTGAAGTCTTAAAGGTCCCATATGCTTCTTTTTCTGGTTTTAGATGCTCTTAAATGTGTTTTCCAAGTGTCCTGTGCATGTGCACATCTATGTGCAAAAATTCAAAGTCCACAGAAACGCGGCTTCTCCTACGTCCCCCTGTTAGCTATATCATTAGCTGCATGTAACACTCGGTTCTAGCCCCCCTCAAAAAAAAAAGTTGTCAGTCCGACGTCATTGTCAGTGTGATATCACTGATCTAAGCCCATTGGCTCGTTGTAGCAAGCCCAGCAGCTCATGTTGCACGCCCGTTAACTTCTGTAGCACGCCCCCGATATGCCGTAGTCTGCGGTAGCACAGTAGTGCTAAGGTCCTAATGTTTATGCTCTTCTCAGACGGAGCCAGTGGCTGCATTCCCAATATGGTAAAAGGGGCGGGACATTTCTGAGAACCGTGCTGAGCAACTGACCAATAACGACAGAGCAGACCAATCAGAGCAGACTTGGCCCACGTGGGGTCTAACAGTGGGGGCTCAGCAGAGAGTAGCTGACGGACTCAGAGCGTAGAGGGAGCAAGGAGGAGCAGTTCATGAAAACAGACACTTTTTTAGGACTTTAGCTATTGTGAACGTAGAAAAGTAGATACAGAGATTAAATATACGAACCCCAAAAAGGGCAGAATATATGCACGTTGTTTTTTTTCTACACTTCCTTGATATTCAGCTCAGGCTACCTGTCAGTCACATGTATTCCCTCATGAGCTGCAGTCATTGACAACAGACAGAGGAGTGCGGTAAATAGAACTCTCTGAATGGTGAGGAAACATGGCGGCTGAATGTTTATACCCAACAGTCACGTATAAAACTATGCTACTTCTCCCTGCTCCTCTGCTGTCTGCATGACGGAGCATCGTGGGCTGAGACACACTGACATACATTGCTGCACATACACACACACACACACACACACACTGGAACGCCAGCCACCACGGCCACCTGCTTAATTTAACTGCACCAGATCTGTACGGGTCGAGTCAGGACCGCACGTGGCCTGACTGGTGAACTTTTTCTTCTACCCACCACTTTGGCCGCTGAGCCAATAAGTGAATTCTGGACCCTGGGGATAACGATAATATTGTGAATAATTGCACAGCCAATAGTTTGCACCTAACGATTCACTGACTGATGTTACCCACATGTGCTCAGCAGATTTTTAATGGGCAGTGATCGAGAGGTTATTAAGATTGTGTCCATGCTGAATCAGCATTAAAAGAGATGCTCATTGTTTGTTGACTGTGTCAAATCATGGTTTCTCCTCTATGGGTCGTATTAGATACGTTGCTTTGTACGAGTATGTTGTCATGGGAAACTTCAGATTCATGTGAGAACACTCTGAAATCTGATAGGATTCACAGGACATCATATTACTTAATTTTGAGGAAAATATTGATTTCGATATACACATTTATTGCTTTGATCCCTCAAATGTTCAGTTTTCAAACACGTATATCAGCTGGAGAGTAACTGAGCATGTACGTGCATCACCGCTCGACACACTCGAGAGTGAAATCCATATAGCGCCCTCTACTGGTGACACAGAACTGCTAGTGTAATACAATGAAACTCTAAAGAATAAATCTAGCACACGGTGGTCACACGGCTCCAGGACTAACCGGGCCTGAGCACGGTTACCTCATAACCGTTCATAAGGTCGTTATACAACATATGCATGGCTTTACGTGACCGTGAAGCGTGCTTAGTTTACAAAACAGGCAGACTCGGGTAAAAATAAAAGGGGTGTGCGGTCCACACATCAGAGAACAACACAGAGAACATGACAGCTACTTTACTGACTTTGTATCTTATTTTGGGTCATTTTGAGCAGATACAGACAGAACACTCCGGGGTTTCTCCATCATGGAGGCAGGGATTGATGACGCCATGTTCACGTTGTGCACACGTGCTTGTGCTTGTGCATGAGCAGCTGTACCGTGCCGAAGCACACCTCTTCATCTGTGCGGGGCCAAGGAAGTGTACGAGGACTCATCACACAAACTGGACTTAGAGGGTCAAAAGTGCTTGTGAACGGTACATGTGGCCTAGTGTGAGTGCGCCCTTAGATGCAGACTTCATGTCATCATGGCTCTGTGGAATAAATAGGACTATATTGTGTTGCTTGATATTGAACACTGTCCTTTCCATAAACTAGAGACCCCAAAGTGACATCACAGCCTCTTTTTTTAAATTTCCCCCTTTAGATTCAATAGGACAGATTATCGAGTGGAGTTTTTGAAAATCATTTTTCCGAGAGTTGGTTGATCTTACCGCCTGCGTTCTCCGTGTTGTTTTCTGTTGATGTGGCCTCCAGACATACTGGAGTTTTTCCCAGTGCTATGACTCAAGGTTCAGTTATTGCATACTGTTGATAGCACAGGAGTTCTATTTCCTGATTTCCTGAGAGGAAGACTTCTTCCCAGGAATCACAGCTTGTTATTGTTGAAAGACGCTTCATCAGCCCAGTGCGTCCACTTAACTCTTTATTGGCCCTTCATTATTCTGTTGATTATCAGATGATCCTCCAAGTCAACTTTACTTTGTCTTTTTGACCTCTTTGTTGCTCCTTTGCGAACACTAACAAGTTTGTAATGAAAGTTTAAAGTTCAGAGCCTTAAAAAATAGATTCACTCTTTCACTTTTTCATCAGACCTTATAGTAGTTAAATAGTGATACAAACACTAGTTCATGTAATCTGACATAGTTTTGAGCTGTTAACAACTTCTCTTTGTGTCTTTAAAGGATATTGTTTCAGGACCGTACACTTCACCATGTTCCTCTAACTCTAATATGTGTCTCTAGTCCGTCTACAAACCCCCCAATGATGAGAAAAGTCCATCCTCTCCGTCTTCTGCCTGCTCCACTTTTCAGAAAATGTGTGCTCAAACAGGCCGTTTGGAGATTTTCCCTTCATGACATCACAAAGGGCAGTAGCCCTCCCCCAGGTGGATGACACTCCCACAGCTAGGTGTTTGTTCTGCCCTCTGAGTCTGCCTTCTCACTGTAAACAATAGGACATGGAGCGAGAAAGACCGAGACACCCAGAGAGGGGGCGTGGTCAGACACAGCTCATTTACATATTTAAAGGTACAGATACAGAAACAGCCTGTTCTGAGCAGGGCTGAAATAGAGGGGTTTATAGACATGATCAAATACAGGATCAGAGTGGACTTAGAACAAGAAACTTCACACACATGTTAAGAGGAGCTCTGAGACTTATTTAAACTGGTTGAAGAGGAGGAGGATATGTCACCTTTAAATTTGAGAGCTGGAAACAACAACGTGGTTCATATGTGTAGCATGAGAAGGCTTACATGTACACCAGAAAGACAATCCAGCCTGTTGGCTTATCAGCTTTGTATCATTGGAAAGCAGCTGATATCGGCCTGCCAACACATCCGCTGTAATAATATCACTGTCATATCAGCACTGGCTAAACGGCCAGAGAGGGGATTTCCAGCGTGGGCGATTGGCACCATTTACTGAGCAGTGATCCTTCTTAGAAACGAACAGACTTTTTAACTTCATAACTCATGATCTTTTCCACTATCATTTTGATTTCATACTCATATTTATTGTGTGGACTTAAATTACTTTCAACTTGTGATTACTTGATCACAGAGGACCGTACCTTCTAAAACATAAGTGATTTTTTTTTTTAAAGACAGAGTCAGCAGCTTGTTCCTTCAAAATAAAAGACAGACTTCTCCTAATGTAAAGACAGAGTCAGCAGCTTGTTCCTTCAAAATAAAAGACAGACTTCTCCTAAAGTAAAGACAGAGTCAGCAGCTTGTTCCTTCAAAATAAAAGACAGACTTCTCCTAAAGTGAAGCTGCTCCATCGTCTCTTCTGGGCCTCCATACATGTGTGGTGGTGACTGTGTCTGCAGAGACTCTGTCCTCTGACTGGATTTTACTGTTCTGCTTTGTTTTGGTTGACTCAGCACGTTTCTGGGCGGAGCTGGTGTGTTTCCTCCAGCCAATGAGAGCGCAGCAGGTGAGTTTAGGAGTGGATACAATTCAGTGATTGGACGCTATTCAAACTGGTGAATATGACGGACGTGGACGTAGCAGCAAAGAAGAGAAAATATAATCAGAGTGAGGAGAAACACCAAGTGGATAAAGCTCGTTCTAAAACGAGGGTGAACCTTTTGTTGTCTTTTACTCGTGGACGTGGAGTTGGTCTACTGTGTGAATGTGTATGTGTCTGTCTACTGTTGGACAGGCAGGTGACAAACACCGGAGGTTAGCTTGTGCTAGCGTGCGTTAGCTTGTAGTGTAGCTACAAGCAGTAAACGTACACACTACATCCTGCAGTGAGCCCAGGAGGAGGAGGGGCTTAGTTTGAATGTTTACAAACATTTCTACTGACGCCATCTTTAAACTTTGTGCATTTGGGATGACTTCTGTTTGTTTGTATAAAAACAGTGTATTTAATAATGCGTCTAGATTGAACCCAGTAATATTAGTTTGTTTGTTGTTTATCAAAATATGACCAAAGAGTTGGGATCGTCTTTTAGAATGTATTTTATTGAACATGGTCATGAATGAGAGGAGTATTTTTGCTTTGCGTTGTTTGTGACACTCAATGAAACAAACCTCACAGGAACTTTATTTCTACCAACTGGCCTCTTTCTTTAAGCCGCCCCTTCATCCTTTCAGTGTACTTTGAACTTGAATCAATCAGTCCCACTGATCTCTCGCCCATGGTTGTGGACTCAGAGCCAAATCCTGTGAATAGCTTTGGCAGAGCTCAATCCCTCTGAGCCTGAGCCCTGGCACATGATTGGCTGAGAGGAGTGTGGAGTTCCACCTTAACAGCCCTTTAGTTTTGCTTTTGTTTTGACATTGTGCTTATCACTGTCAGCAGGGTTGTTTCGTGGCACTATGATGACTTGCAGTCAAGAGGAAAGTGAAAATATGTCCTACAGAGCGTGTCGACTTGTTTCTGATAGAAAGTAAGGCTAAAGAAAAATGATTGTGATTAATGAGCAGCTAGACCTGGACCTACAGATCAGGTAGGAACTGTAGTCGTTCTCCTTTTCATGACTGTGTGTAGACATCTGTCTCACCGTCTCTATCCTGTGATTTAAGTCTGGAAGATCTCCGCTTGTCTGAATGAATGTTTGTGTTGTTATTTACGTTCTTTCATCATAGACGGATGTACTCTGCATACGTGACCTGTTTCTGTGAATATACAGTAAAGCTTCACTGTACTGGCATCTGTCTCGTCTCAAATTACACACCTGTCCCAATTCCTAGAGCAAAACTTCAAGTCTTTTCAGATATTAAAGGTCCCATCAGTGAGATGTGTAGAGAGTGAAATGATAAAGGTATCTTACTATCTGATCAGACATTAAGGAAACATGCCATGTTGAAGTGCTGGCTTCTCTGACAACATTGCAGCAGTCAGTATGTCCTCCTTCTAACTTGAGATTCTGCTCCTGCTCTCTACAATGTTTAGAATTTAGACTGCAGTACCCATTTTAAACACTAGGGGTCAGAGTTACATACTGCTCCTTTAAGTAAAGTGGTGTGTTGTTGATGATCAAATGACATGCTAGCTAAACATCATTCAGTACCTCTTATCTTCTGGAGCTGCTTTTTTCCACACTAATACTGCGTTCCATCGGAACTGGGAATGACGTCACACCTGAGTTAACTGCGTTCCAGTTGCAAGTCGGAAAAGCAACATGGTCGCCTACAGGAGTACTGTTGTTTTGTTAGCTAATACCAGACGATAACGACACACTACATGATAGTTTCTGACCGAAAATAAAATGACAACACCTCCACAGAGAGAACTTGCACGATACCATCGGTCTGATTCAATTCAGTGTTTCCCCTACCATTATATTGGGGGTTGGCCCGCCCCCCTGAAGGTCAAGTAAAAAAAAGAAACTTTTTTGGGGGGGGCTTTTTGTGCCTTTATTGTAGAGATAGGATAATGGTTAGAGTTGGAAATCAGGGCTGAACTTGGAAGCTGTTGGGGAACATTTGGAGTAACTGTTTGAGCTAAAGGAAACACAACATGTGTATACGTCCTGGTCAAACAAACGACTTGACTAACAATCCTCCTCTTTCTCTTCAAGGCAATACCACTTGAGCAGCAGCACTACCACCACCACTCCGGACGTGCACATGGACATGTACTCGGGGATTCTCTGATGTGGACTTTTCCAGCCTCAACCTCCCCAGGAACGGAGATTTCCCACAGGTGTGTCTCATCAGTCTGTTGTACATGTTCATATATATATTTATCTTCTATGACTGAAGTCCCCTTCCACCTACTCAAACACAATTAGTGCTTCTTGTCTCCATTTGTCTTTTCTTCTTTGTCTTCATGCTCATCAGAGGGAGGGAGCAGCCATGCCTCCCACCTCCTCCTTTCATCTTCCTGTCATGTGTGTTCAGCCTAGCTTCATTTACCAAATGGGCGGCCTGATTAAAGGCCGTTTTGTCTAGACGACGGCAGCAGTACCTGCCCCTGCTCCTGTCAAGGCATGTCATTAATAAGCCTCTGTAATTTAACGCTCCTCTTCAGAAATCACTGCTGGCTACACCCAGAGTACTTTTGTGTTGAGTGTGGATGAGTCCGCGGCTCATGTTTTTTTGGGATTGGCAAAAATAATCAGGACGAGGAATTCTTCAATGTGAAGTGTGACATGAAGCAGCAGGCTCATATATTCACCTCTCCCTGCTCTATCCTCCATCTTTACTTTTCTATTTGGGTGCAGTTTAGTGTCCATCCAGTGAGATCACTGTAGTCAGGATCATATGAATAGAAGCCCGCTGTAATTAAACAGACCACTGAGTTTCTAATCTGAAGCCTGTTGGTGTTGATCTGAGGAGTGCTTCTTATCTTTACTGAACCGAATCAAAGGACTACGCTGTGATGTTTAGAATAAGAGCAGTCACTGAGCATGTTGACATCATGACTTCATCTGCTTCAATACACAAGCAGTTAGTTATAGCAGCTCAGGTGAATCCTTGGACCCCCAAACTTCACCAGATGTATTCATTGGGTGAGTTGTTACTGTTTGGGCACTTCCTGGAGGGTTTTGGTAGAAGTTAATAAAAAGTATAGTGAGGACGGTATAAAAGTCCTCAAGTCCCTGTGATGCTGTTTTTTTAAAGGCTTTTTCTTTGTGACTTTATTAAGAGATAGGACAGTGGATAGAGTCAGAAATCATGGAGGGAGAGAGAGAGCAGGGAATGACATGTGGGAAAGGGGACCGGAATTGAACCCATGTTGCTCGCTGTTGATCTTCTTACATGGGGACATGCAAACTGACCACGAGGCTGCACGCCACCTCTACCATATTCTCATTATAGCGTTGTATAGCGGACTCTGCTGCTCGTCCCACTACTTGTTTTTTTACATCACGTCTCACCTCAGGAGCCCCCCCCCCCTGACAGGGATATTCTCCTGCTGTGAGGTGCATGTGTGAACAAACAGATCAGGATGATTTCAGCAGCAGTCCTCTTGGAATGATTTAGAAACTTTCAGAGGTGTATACGTTCCTAAGTTCCTCCTCACGTTGGTGCTGCAGGTGTGTGAATGAGTGATGGTTAGAAGAAAAGTGTGACGGTGTGTTTGTATTAATATTTAAGCTGGAGGGATTTTAAAAAACAATGACCACACTTGAAAAGCTGCTCTGTACACATGAAAGTGATGCGTCATCCTCCTCTCGTGTGCCGTTTTGCTGACATGGATTTTGTGATTCATGTGGGGTTTCCCAAGTTTTCCCTTTGCCTGACGCGCCGTTCATCCGTCTGCCTGCTTTCTGTCTTACAAGACCCTGAGAGGGAAGGGATCAGGAAACATACTGAGTATATATCAGTGTTGTTATTGTTATGATGTGGTGTTATTGTTCTTCCTGTTTTCTGAGTGTGTCTGTGTGAGTGACAGAGAGATGTTTTGTGCTTTCTCAGCTGTTCTATCTGATTTTGAACACTCCCTGCCATGTGATGCATGAAGAGGCAACTTAAGTCACAGGGTCATCATGACTAATCCTCCACCTCACATACAGCCAGCTCCACCCCCCCACCTTTCCCCCCCCTCCACCATCCTGGCATGTCAACCATGTCCCTTTTCCCTCTCCCCATCCTCATTGAGGGAGCAGTGTTTGGGTGTTTTCTTTTGCACTGCTGATTGAACCATGACAGCTCTACAGACACTCAGGCATGTGTGACTGAGTTCACCAGGTGACTGCCTTGTTTATCTCTGAAATGTTCCTGTTTCAGTCCCAGCTGTCGAGTCAAAAAATCTCTTCTTGTTTGCATGGCTTCCTGCAGTGTTGTTACATTCTGCGTCATGTTGTTAAGAAGCGCACCGTTGGAGCATGTGGACAGGTGTCTTTATTTAGATTCTACATGACTTGTAAACAAGAGTCACATGTTTTCTTTGTGTTTCTTCGTGTTAGAATAAATAAAATCCCCCTCCAGAAAGATCAGTATGTAACTCTGACCCCTAGTGTTTAAAGTGGGTACTGCAGTCTAAATTCTAAACATTGTAGAGAGCTGTCCCCCCCCTCTATAAACCTTTCTGTGTTCTAACCTCTCTCCATTTTTCAAAAGCATCTCCAATATTGATCCTAGTTTGAGCACGTTTCTGCTCGTGGAGCTTATTAGAAACATGCAGAGGCTTTTTAGGTCGGGTACAATCACTTCTATCTGAACCACTTCTCTTGACCGCTTCCATCGCTGCAACACCTGTTGACCTGATAACTGCTCTCATATCTGGTAAACCGAGGGGCGTCCAAAACGCCCGTGTGGGGGTGTCTTAAAAGCGCCTACCTTCTCTGGTCCAAACAAATCCAGAGCACTCACTGATTGGAACTTTAATAGGTAGATATTTGCAGACCTGTCTGGACCTACGTTGTGGTTACATTGTATCATTTGTGGATCCACATGATGTGAACTTTAATGCAGAGCATCAGAATGAAAACACGATTTACTGGAAGAATGAAATCAGAAGTCGTTCACTAACCACTCTGGCTTACCTCACTGACTGTACTGCTTTCAGCAAGCACTCAGAAGTACAGAACTACTGTACATCCATGCACTGTGTGTACAGATATACCTGCACCAAGTCACGTTTACACATTTTCACTCTCATAGTCGCTCGCTGTGGTTTCTCTCACTATCACACACAAACACTCACATGCACAGTGTGCTTCTAAGAATATGTGATGAGGCTGCGTGAAATCCCAATCACTTGATTTACTAAATACATCCCACCGAAGAAAACCTTGATTGTCAGAGGTGTAAAGAGTACGAATATATTCTACTCAAGTAAAAGTACTGTTACTTTGATAAAATTTTACTTAAGTACAAGTAAAAGTACCAGTTTAAAAATGTACTCAAGTAAAAGTAAAAAGTAACTCGTTTAAAATGTACTTTAAGTAAAAGTAACTTAGTTACTTTTTTTAACAACGCATCTCTCGTGTGTCTTGAAAAAAGGACGAGGGATATTAATCTCAAAGGCCAATCTTTACAAAGATTTATCTTTTCAGATCAACATTTTCTTTTCTACCCCATTGACAAAAACAAAATATACATAATGATGAATAAATAATCAAGGATTATATGTTCAAGTAATCAGCTGTTTTATGAAGGGAAATGTTTAAAGGCTTTATGTGATTTTGTGATCCAGCAGATGTCGCCCTTGAGCACCAGCATGAAACCAAAACAACTCGCGCTGCATTGTTGTGTTAGCATGCTAATGCTAGTGATCTTTATTATGCTCGTATCTTCACACTGCATGTAAATTTACCTGAAATGAGCGTGATCTAGAAACACAGTTAAGCAGTGAGTACAGTATGTTATTCTTCTTTTCTCTAGTCCCTCAATTAAACAACTTTTATACGTGAGGGGAGGAGTCAGCCGGCCGTCCTGGCGATGTAAACAAAGTGAAGATAGGACTCTGAAAACATCACAGACAGTGGGACTCGGGTGTTACACCCATTGTAGACAGTCATGACTCACAGAGTTATTTTCAGAGGATATACTTGATTTCTATTACATTTAAGTGTGAAAAATCGCATATTAAGCCTTTAAACTATTTATGAAAATACTAAAAGGATCTTTGTCTCAATCATAAAAAGTGTAAAGAGTATTTTAGTGTTTTTAGTTTTATTATTCTGAGGCTGGTTAGTCTCAAATGCAGCCTCAAAGGCTGACTTAGCTGCAACTAAACCTGAGATGAAAGATAATCCATTTATTGTTTTAAAATGAGCCTGTAAGAGTTTAAATATTAGATGTTTTAGTCTCTGTTTGTTTACCTATTAGCTACTGAAGCTTCTAACTGAGTCTGTTTGGTTTGATGTATTTATTTTCACACATCTGAGATGTGTTAAGTTGCAGCAGCTTACAACACCCAACTTCCTCATACGTCTGCTTCAAAATAGAAGCACATCACAAAGATGCCAATTAGGGACTTTTATTGTGAAAAACTTTCCGGAACTAAATGTGTTTATCACTCGGAGCTGCAGCGGCGATTGTAGTCGCGAACGCTGCAATGAGAAAAGCATCCTCAGCCACTTCTTTGCCCAAGAGTAAGAACCACAGCCAACTTATTTTAATCATCTTGGACTTAAGACAATGAGACATCAGTTTATGAACACCTTCAGCAGGTAGTCCCGCTGTAGTGGAGGAGCATATCCGTGCTTCACTAGCTGAAGTGGCACCGAGCCAAGAAAAGGGTCTCTGTCCCCGGTGCCATGAGGGAAAATCATTCATAGCAGGCTTATTTTTTTTTACTCAGTAACGGATGTGATTTAAAATGTAGCGAATTACAATACTTAACAGAAAACCTACTAAAGTAAAAGTACAGATTTTAAAAACGACTTAAAAAGTAGTAAATACAGCAAAAAAACTACTCAATTACAGTAACGCGAGTAAATGTAATTCGTTACTTTACACCTCTGCTGATTGTGTATTTAAGCCTTGATTACATCCCAAGTATAAAGAGTAACTGTTAGCCATTACATATTGCCAGAGAACATGCATCCCCCCCAGTTAGGATCAAACGTGTCTGAAAAACTACACATCCCATGTTGATGTTCAAACCATATTACTGTAAAACCTTTAACGACATCTCTTTCTGTCCATGTCTGGTTGATTTAGTAATGTTTTCACACAGCTCTGCGGGCTCAAAGTAAAAGAAACACTCTGTCCATATTTAATTCATAAACTGAAAGGTTGCTCAGCCTC